AGATGTCTTGTAATGCACTGTTGAGGAACCTGCGACCCAAGTTTTTCATTCATTGCATAACTACACCGTAGTTGTGTATATGATATGTCAATAAACCTTAGAAAATCTTGAAATCTTGAAAAGGATGTGCAAAATAGCCATAATATACAGTCTTTAATGAACTATTAGTAGAGAATAACGAGTAATGAATATACTTTATTACTCGTTTCCATTCATGTCAATTGCAGATAAATGTTTAGTCTTCTCAAGCACCAACTATCAAATATCTCTCCTGATTGTTGGCACTTGACAATCACCTTCCCTGAATTTTACTCAGGTGTAACTAAAGTCTGCTTTAAGGGTTGTTTATATTTCACATCATTAATCAGAATCTGCAAAGTAACTCAAATAAGTGTAGTGGAGTAAAAATACCAGGTTAACCTCTGAATTGTAGTGGAGTAGAATTACAAAGTAACAATGAGCTGTAATGTGGGTATATATTAATGCTATATATTAATGCTGCCCATTATGGACACAAGCGATTTTCACCCATTTAGTAATTATATGTTTTACATTTGATAACACCGATGTGTTTAATACTGGCAACTTCTAATTGTGGGAAAAAACGAAAACGTTCAGTAGAGACGTCCCATAGAACATTTTGCGAAACACAATAGTGTAGTGTATAGTTCTGGGGAGGCGTTCGATTCCAGTTTTGGATAGTCTGGCGTGGTTTCGTTCCATTTCACACAGCTGTTTGACGCTCGGCGTAACCTTGGCGCACTGCCACTCCATCATCCAATCCCAGAGCTTGAAGATTAATCACGGGGACTGTAGTCCTAAACGATAGCTGGGGAGTATGGGTAGTGTAGTGTCTTCGGCCATCCTAAACTCAGAAATGTTGACAATCGCAATGATGCTCGAAATGTCCCTTATAGGCCTACGTCTGTTTCCGGTTATTTTTATTTTGAAATTCAGTTCCTGACGGACGCCAAAAAAGCCAGAGGTTATGGAATTAAACCAATAAATAAAAGCAAGGATAATTGTGTGTTATTGGTGAGTAAATAACAGTGTGTTATTTTGAAAAGAATAACAAATTAGAAGGAAAAAAAGATTTAAAAAATACAGATTTCAGTATCCCATTTATTTTCCTCAGAGACGGCAACAAAAGTTTAGAAAGAAATTATACGATTTACAATAAAAGCAATAATTGTGGCTTGATATTGAGTAAGAACATGTTTTTATGAACCACACACATTTTCCGGTCTTCCAAGACCCGACCGGAGAAAAAGACGTGCTGCAGGCACGAAACACATTACCAGTAGAAATACATTGCTTTTAAAATCGTAGTAGAAATACATTGCTTTTAAAATCGTGCTGTGCAACACGAAAAAAGGGGAAAATCGTGTTGGTGAACACGAATCAATAGATTAAAAATCGTGTTGGTGAACACGAAATGCCATGAGACTGGGTTGTTTATTCTGCTACCTTACAATGTAGACAACATAGTGCCTTGTGGAAGAAGTTACGGATGTTAAAAATGCCCATCTAATGTTATGTATATGTAACTGCTCATTGCTTTAAATAATTGTACATCTGTGAGCTTGTTCAGTGCCTTATTTCAGCAACAGTATATTCAACTTAAAGTCTACTAAGAGAAATATTGAAGATCCAATTGTTGTTGTTGAATCAATAAATCAAATGGAAAAATTAAACCTAAAATCTTAAATGATCCCAAAGAGCAGATTAAGTCCCTCATTGTCCATCCATCCATCTTCTCCCGCTTATCCGTGGTCGGGTCGCGGGGGTAGCAGTTCCAGCAGAGAGCCCCAAACTTTATTTTCCCTGGCGACATCAACCAGCTCTGACTGGGGGATCCCAAGGCGCTCCCAGGCCAGCAAAGAGATATAATCCCTCCACCTGGTCCTAGGTCTACCCCTTGGTCTCTTCCCAGCTGGACGTGCCTGGAACACCTCCCTAGGGAGGCGCCCAGGTGGCATCCTAACTAGGTGCCCGAACCACCTCAACTGGCTCCTTTCGACGCGAAGGAGGAGCGGCTCAACTCCGAGTCCCTCCCTGATGACCGAACTTCTCACCTTATCCCTAAGGGAGACACCAGCCACCCTGCGGAGAAAACCCATCTCGGCCGCTTGTATCCGCAATCTCGTTCTTTCGTTCCTCATTGTGTAAATTATATATCATTCCTATAAACCAACACATACATACCTTATACCAGAATCAGAATGTTGTCTTATGGGGTAGTTGTTTTGTAAAGCACACTTTAGACAGGAAAAAGCTACAGCAACATACTATTATAAAATGTTCTATCTTAAGCTTACTTTCAGAGATATGCAGAACACACTCCACTTGGATGCAGTGAAGTTGACTTTGCTCTCTATTTACTCTCTTGCTACAGTTTGCATATTAGTAAATGTTTGGGCAGGGTTCAGCACACGTAGCTGCGTGTATACGCCACCAGAGGGCGCTTGAACAACAGTTTGAATCAATCTTCCTGTTTTTATTGTATTGGTTTTAGGGGTGTATAAGGTCATTTTTGATAAATGTTTTGTTTCCTCAATTATATGCACTTTAGCAGATTGATTTTCTACAAGAATAATAAGTCAAATGCATGGATCACATGATAAAAACGTTACAAGAATTGTAAAATGTTTTTTATTGATGAACAAAGTAAATACATAATTTGTCAAAATGTCATCAGTCATATTGTGACACATTTTGAGGATTATTGTCAAAGACAGGCTGTATTATTACAGACTGCAACCCGTCACACTACTTAAGAGTCAAGTATAGAGCACTACATGGTTACTGTATTACTGTAGTATTACTCTTATTGTAAAATTGTGATTAATTGGACAGGAACATCATGTTAAATATATTAAAAGGGCCCTATTGTGCTTTTTGGGGTTTTCTCTTTCCTGTAGTGTTACATAGGTTTGTGTGCATGTGAATGGTCTGCAAAGGCTAAAATCCCTGTGTTCCCTCCAAAGGGAGTTTCTCTCCCACACACTCCCCCCCCCTGCCTGAAACGCCTCAGTTTGTAGTCATATGTTTACTTCCGTAACATGGTGACATCACTAGGTAAGACAAGCCCTTTAACACATTGTACTTGATAGGCTAAGGGGCGGGACATCTTTAGGCGGTTGGTCAATCACAACAGAGCTTTCCAGCTAACCAATCAGAGCAGACTGGGCTCTGGTTTCAGACAGAGGGTGAAAAGAGGTGCTGCAGCAGTATGAGAAAAATAAAGAGCTTTTTGATCATTAAAGCATGGAGACATGTACCAGTAGAGACACTAAATACAAATATGAACCTGACAATAAGCAGAATAGGGCCCCTTTATTTCTAATGTGTACATATTTTGTAGTTTGTGTCATTGACTGCAACAGAAAACTATAAAACTAGTACAAAGAAATAAGAAGAAAAGTACTTTAGTCCAAGTGATGATGGCACACTGCTGACTTTAATGAGCTATTTAATACATTTCATAGAGATGAAGAGTGCAGTATTTGTGCACCTACACTTGCTGTATGCCTTACTAACAGTACTGTAAGTGTGTTGCATAACCTGCCAACACAGTCTCACTCCCTGATAGTCCAATAGCGACGCTTGGTCAGGGTCCTTTGGCGTGCAGTTGTGACGCACCGAGGCTCCTTCAGCTTCATAAATGGACGCAAAGAGCTTTCAACTGATTGCAATGTATTCCCATCGGCGGCGGTATTTGACGCTCAGGGAAGCACCGCATCGGTCCATGTCGGCGGCAGTTAAAGGCAATGTGAGCGTCCATTCTCATTGGATAACGGAGAATTGTACACCCGGAAGTAAGTATTCTTCTTACTGTCGATTGATTTTACAGTGATATCTCCACTACTCATCGACTCAAACACACCAGATTATCCTTGTTAATTACACAACATTGATTGGTTTGAATTGTGTGCAATGCTTTTGTGTTTTTCCCCTTCGACTCTGAGAAACAAATAGTTGTATCGTAGTTTAGGATGGCCGAAGACACTACACTACCCATAATCCTCAGCTATCGTTTGAGACTACACCATGCACTTTGCTTGACAAACCCTGTGATCAGTCCTCAAGCTCTGTAATAAATGGTTCGGCTGCATTAAATATTACACATCTGGCTTAGTTATATATTTATCTACAGAGATTGGGCCTCAGAATAGACCGGAAACTATTCTTTTACCGTTCTGTTTTAATTTTACAATAAAGTTAATAGTAATATTTTGTTTGATATTATTATTTTGTATTAACTAGACAGCCGCTGGGTCATGTTAAGACCATCTTTTCTGTGTTGCTGTGGGTTTTTCCCATCGCTTTTGTGTTACAAATATCAAAACAATATATGTGTGGTCGTCTGTGGATAACAAAATATATCCGTCGTAAACTAAACCGGAAACAGCAGTATATTTTATTGTGTTAACACTGTAAACTTGACAGCTTTTTAACCTGAACCACCTACTGGTTAAAGCACTTTATTACACGTTTAGAGTCATTGCAATGCAGGTAGATTGTGTTGCTTTTTAATTACTGTTTTTAAATGCCTTTTTCTTAATGTCTTTCATTTTTGTAAAGCACTTTGAATTGCCTTGTGTTGAAAGGTGCTATATAAATAAAACTTGCCTTGCCTTGCCTAAGGTCTGCTGCATGTTTTGTTGAATGTGTTATTTTTGATTAAATAATACTTTAGGTTAAGGTCTTCTTTTAAATACATATAAGCAAAAAGCTTTGAGGGTATCTAGAGATAAATATTAAGTCTGATATTGCATGGTTTGTTTTGGGACTTGACAATCAACGTTCCTGCAATGTTAAGTCCAATAGCGACGCTATGTTGAAGCCAAGTGCCTCAACATAGCGTCGCTATTGGACTATCAGGGAGTGAGACTGTAATCTGTAAATGATCTGTAAATGACCTAACAATTGTTTGTCGAGTAAATAATATTAAGCGATAATGCCAAAAATACGATGTGATCACAGACTCAAAATACACATTTTCACCGTCACAACAACAACAATATATTTTACTGTATTCAAATGATCGCACAAAGCTTAGCATGAGTCAGCCTTTTTTCAGCTCAGCCCACACGTGTTGCTTTGTTAAATGTTGGGCAGGTGATATTTATGCTTCACCTGTTTCTTCACATCTGGAGCTGGTGAGATGTTGCTGTTGGGTAACTGAGGCAGGTACTGAGCCTAGAGAAAGGAAAGGGGAAGACAAGAAAAAAAAAAGGTTAACTTGATGCTTTTTTCAGGATGTCTATCTTAGACAACAGGAAAGGGGAACTATCATAAAAAATATGTGTTCTACTTATTAAGGTGTCCGTTAAAGAAAGGTTCGTTTAGATCCATGCAAGTTCAAATCAGTCGTAGAATGTAATTGAGCACTTATTTAAGTATTTTACTTAAGTAATAATAAAGTGTTGCCGGAATGAGTCCTAAAACCCGGAAATTAGTTGCATTTCTTGTTCCCTCGTGTCAAAGTAAATGTTTGTTTTTTTTAACGTGTGTTTGGTTAGATGTCTCAAATAAGGTCTGTTGTTTACGTAAGTCCAAGAGTGTTTCGCTACATGTTAAAATACATCAGTAGATACCCCACTGGTCAATTTCCGAAGATTCTTCTGCAGACTATTTAAAACATGAACGGGCTGATTTTATCATTGCACAACAATGTGTGATTGTTATAGCAGTAATATTAAACACTAATAATACAGTAAACTATTAACACTGTAAATATTATTGTTTGCCCGTGGTGAGATAACGAGGCTCCATTCAAAATAAACCTATTTTTAGTGTTTAGGCACGTTAATAAAGTTGTAATTAAGTTGACTACAGCAGTGGTTCTCAACTGGTCAGGCCTCTGGACCCACTTTTTACTTGGTCAATACATCGCGACCCAACATTTTGAAGCACTGAAATCTATTCAACAAAAAATTGTGCTGTATATACGCTTTTCAGCATACAATATTAACTAAAGTGAAGTACAGTGCATATATCCCTTATATCCCTTCACAGAACTAAAGTATGCTTTTAAAAAAGGTTTAATGAGATGATGGAATCAAAGCTGAACTATATAAAAAGGCACACATGCTGAAAACCCAACCCCAGCAGGGGGGTCTGGGGGGATTCTCCCCCAGGAGATTTTTAGAAATACTAACATAAACTATGCATTCTGGTACACTCTGAGAAGAAAATAAATAAATCTATTACTACCCGACATATTAATAATATTTTATGCCATTGTTTGTTTTTTACTTTGTTCTGACAGCTTGCTGCGAGAAGAGTAAAGAGGAGATAGTCTGTGTGGCTCCCATTGTTCTGTCACCTGTCAATCATCAAACCGGGGGTCATATTTCAATGTGTTCATTTTTATCTGAAGTTGTACCCATGGATGTATAAAGAAGAGTTCTACCGCAAAGTTATTCTCCGTGGGGACTTCCGGCAACAATCTTGATTCTGATTGGCCACAAGACTCGAAAAAACATCAGCAAAGATATTTTATTGAGAAGATGATCACTATGTGACAGAAGTTTTCAAAACCGTTTATGGTCCCCGGTACTTACAGTCCAACGCCTACTGCATGCACAGCGTTAGAAAATTGGGCCTTCAAAATAAAAGTTTGACTTTTTCCCCAAAAAAAAGAAATTCCAATTTTATTTTATTTTCCAATTTTTTTTTCTTCACTCACACATCCGCGACCCACTCGAAACGGGTCCGCGACCCACTTTTGGGTCGCGACCCACCAGTTGAGAACCACTGGACTACAGCATATTCATATTTGTTGGTGCTTTCATGTCAATTCGGCGAACATATGATAGCCTACTACATTACATGATCGTGAAGATGATGATTAAATTATTATTACAAATCAGTAGTGAGAGCAGGGCTGCATTTCCTCCCATCGGATGTGATACAAAAACAAACAGATTATTTTTGTAGTTGTAAACTCACGTGGATTAAACCACATTTCGTTAATAGAAACAAAATACGATTTTTAAAAAATGATTACATGTCTCTTATTTAGCACAGAATATGATCCTATCCGTGAAGATCCGCTATATCAGCTATACCTATCAGCTGTTTATTTCACATGAGTTCCAGTGTGGCAGCTTTTTAATCACTGCTCCTCCTGGTGGATCCATGATCCATTGCAGCTGGTTTCATTATAATTTATCAAGGGGGCGTATCAAGTCATGCGGGGGGTTTTCCTTTCAGCGAGGGCCCACCCCGTGCCGATCACGGCCCCACATGGGTAGGGGCGTCTGAAATGAGGTGCTACATCTGTACATTAGATTTAGTTATACCTGAAGTAAAATCACAATCTACCCAGCAATGCATAAAGTAGTTGAATTAGCTCCACTTTACTACCTGCAAAAAATACATTAATGCATCAATATATGTGTCCCTTCGCAATTATCACTGGCCCCGTGTATCTCCTAATCGTTATAACCGGCCTGCTCTCGTCTATCCCACATGCTCCACTGAGATCCAACATCTAGTTTCAGGTGGCCTGTGGAACTGCCAGTCAGCTGTTCCTAAGGCTGACTTCATCTCTGGCTACGCCTCCCTGCAGTCTCTGGATTTCCTTGCTCTCACTGAGACCTGGATTACTCCATCCAACACATCCACCCCAGCAGCTCTCTCCACAGCATATTCCTTCTCCCATACACCCAGACCCACTGGCAGAGGAGGTGGCACTGGTCTACTGCTCTCTCCCAAATTGAGCTTTTCCCTCTTCAAGCTACCTAACTTCACTCCTTCCACCTTTGAATTCCATGCCGTCACAGTAAACCCATCCTATACAATTAACCATTGTTGTTCTCTACCGTCCACCAGGCGCCTTGGGGGACTTCTTGGAGGAATTAGATAATCTCCTCTCACACATCCCTGAAACTGGCCCTCCCGCTGTACTTCTCGGAGACTTCAACCTCCAGACAGGGAAGATATCTGAACTAACATCTCTTTTAACTGCCTTTGCCTTCTCACTGTCTCCATCCCCACCAACTCATAAAGCTGGCAATGTCCTTGATCTCATATTCTCAAGGAACTGCACTACTCCTAACCTCTCTGTAAACCCGCTTCACACCTTGGATCCAGCGCTCTCGACTAACTTTTTTCACCATCCTCCCGGAACCGTCTCGAAATACAATCTAAGCCGTCCCGAAATTAATGTGGACCGTCCCGAATTTAAAATATTAGTTTTTCTACATTATCATTAGTTAAGATCATTCAAAGTGACCTTTAACATAAATAAAACATCATACAAATCATTAGATGATAATTCATCAACCTTTTTATTTGAGTAAATCAGTCAATCACATAAACAAAGGCCAAATATATTTAAACAAACACACAAACGAGAAAGTTACTCTAATATTGAATCCAATCAAGTCCCATCCAATTAACAAACAAATCCAACACTCTGTCCTGAAGACAGAACCCAGAGTAACCACTAACCAGGATGACAGTCAGTAACACAGTCAGGAGACATTTACAAACGGCCCCGCCCCCTCGCACACAGACGGGAGAGAGAGATCTCGTCTGGATTGTGTGGTGTCTCGTCAATTGTGTTAGTTGTGTTTGTTTTATGTCTGTCATTTCATGTTTAGTCAGGTATGTAATTCCAAGTCTAGTCAGGTTTCTATGTAGAGTCAGGTTTTCTTGTTACGTCACGTCTGTCTATTTTATGTATGTCATCTCTAGTCAAGTCCCCATGTTTCATGTCATGTCTCGTTTTCCCATTTCCTGTTTTATTTTGTACTTGCCTCTTGTCTTTCTCTTCAGGTCCTGTTACTTCCTCACTTTGGGTGTTTTTCCGCCATCGTCAGCATCTGCCCCGCCCCTGATTGTTTCCACCTGTTCCCAATTCCCTCATGTTTAAATAGTCCTTGTCTCCCTTTGTCTTGTGCCAGTTCTTCTTGTTTCAGTGTGCTTCTATGTCGACAGACCCAGAGTTAAACCAGAGAGGAGAGTTACCAGAGAGGAGAGTTTTGTTTGTTTGAAATCAAGAAGTTTTGTTTTGTCCTCGCAAGAGTGATTTTTTGTTAAAACTTTGTTTTATTTTTTCTCATTAAAATATGAGTCGTCGCATTTGAGTCCAGTATTTTTGTACCCCATTCTAACAGAACGAATTGGCCAACATGGACTCAGCCGACTCAGAAAGATTTAAAGCGGATGTCGAAGGACAGAGAGCAGTGCTTGCTCACCATGCTGCACAGCTGGTCTCCATTAACAGAGGAGTTGGTAATCTCACTGATCGCCAAGCAGAATTCCAGGAGGCTGTAACTAATCAAGTTAATCACCTGGCGGTTCAAGTGCACAGAGCTCTTGCCCAACTCGAAGCTGGATCATCTACATGGTCTCCTACTATGCCGAGCCCATCCGTTGCATCCACTGGTTCTGCTGCTGCTGCTGCAGACCACATTCCCCCTTCTGGAACGTCGCTTCGCCTTGCATCTCCAGAAAAGTTTTCCGGGGACTCTGGGGACTGTCGCCCCTTTCTGGTACAGTGTGAACTGCATTTCGCCCATAACCCCTCTGCCTTTATTTCAGACCAAGCTAGAGTAGCCTTTATGCTGTCCCATTTAACCGGGCGAGCTGCCGCCTGGGCTACGGCTGAATGGTCCTCAAATTCAGAGACTCTAAGGCGTGTTTTTGATCACTCTTCACCAGCCAGAGAGGCCAGCCGAGTGTTAATGCAGATTAAACAGGGACCCAGAAGAGTGGCAGATTATGCGATACAATTTCGCACTTTAGCAGCAGATAGCGGGTGGAACACCCCAGCCCTTATTGCTGCCTTTATGAATGGCCTAAAGGATTCTATTAAGGACCAATTAGCACCTCTGGAGCTACCAAACAGATCTTAACTCAATCATTACAATGTCAACGCGCATTGATATTAGACTTAATGAAAGGAACAATGAAAGGTTAAAAACCAGCATGCGCCCACCTGCCCCACAACGCCGATGGGTAAACAATACACCCCTGACAACATCATCTGAGGAACCAATGCAGCTGGGCGGAGCCAGGATTACAGCAGAGGAACGACAGCGCCGTTTTCGTGAAGGATGCTGCTTCTACTGTGGACAACATGGCCATGCTGCATCTTCCTGCCCGTTAAAAGGACAGGCTCATCGGCGCGACGGAGGGCGCTGGTGAGCCGATTTTCTGCAGCTGACTTTCCTCCACGATCATTG